GCGTTTTGTATGCTTGCATATGAATATGTATATATATATATATATATATATATATATATATATATATATATATATATATATATATATATATATATATACTCGCCTTCTTAATAATTCCATAAGGTTTATTTTTGGTTTACGTAAGTATGACCACATATCATCCCATCGTTCAAAGCTTAAATGGCTACCTATACGTCAAAGGCGATGCTCTAGAATTTTACTTGTACTTTATTCAATTTTAAACGATCCAAGGTCACCTTCTTATCTTAAGGATAATTTTCATTTTTTTCATCCGATCGACGGTCGAACATCCCGACAGTCAAACCGTCTGAGGTTAAGGTTTCCACAGCATAAGTCAAATTTTTTTAGGTCGTCTTTTACGATACAAGCTATACAACTTTGGAACAACCTCCCCAACGATATTAAGAATGCCACAAATAAAAAAGCTTTCAAAGTTCTTCTCCGAAACCTTACCTGAAGGAAACTACTAATTAACATTATTTTTTGTTAATTTTGGTCTTTCCCTTTCTTCTTTTTTACTTCAAATATTTATTTCATTATATATTATTCAAACATTATATTATTATATATTAAAATATATCATTCATTTGGATATTTATTCACGAAGTTTATAAGCATGTATATATATTATATATATGTATGTATATATTATTGTACGTATATTGATACTATATGTGTGTATATTTAAATGTAATGTGTATGTATGTAATTTGCATATATGTATATTTTAATGTATAAGCACTTATTTACGTATAATGGTCACACCTGCCAACAATTATCCTTGCCACCCAGGGTTGACTGGCAGAGAATGCCACATGGCATTAAGTCCGCCCTATGTACCCTTTAGCTTAAGGTGTTACGTGTAAGTTTATAATATATATATATATATATATATATATATATATATATATATATTTTTTTTTTTATTTATTTAACATAAGAAAAAAATACATAAAATCACAATTTAAACATCACAAAAACCCTTACGGGTTTGTCTGGATGTTGAGACACTTTTGAGCAATCTGTTGACATTAGTTTATACGTATTATTATTTAATAAGAACATCAATTATAGTATTAACAGTATGAAGTATGGGTACATTGTTTACATACAAGTGGACATAAAGGAACCGGTTATAGATAAGCAGCTCGGCACGGCTGGCGGACAGCCGGCTGATGCTACTTGAGTGTGTTATAGACAGGATGTTTCGATTATCGATATGATATTATGTTAGGTTTGATTTCATTAAAATTAGACAACTTGTTATTAAAGTAAAGAATTAAAGTATTGCTTATATATATTTTTATAGTTTTTGTCCGTTATTCCTAATCTGATTTTAGTAGGTATATCATTAACGAGGGTTGGTATTAAATACGCGTTCGTTCGTTTTCCGTAATAATTTCTAACTCTTGGTAATTCTAGTTTTGATTGAGTTACTTTCCGTGTCATTGTTTTATGATTCACTTTTATTTGTATTTAATTGTTCGTAAATTGTTCAATTAATAGCCACAATTTTATTTTAATATGAACAGGCAATATTTCACAATATTTAAATAACGCTAATACATCGTCGTCTCCGAAGCAGATTGATTTTTTAATTTTATCAGGTATTATTATTTTTAAAAGCCGAAGTTGTAGGCTGTATATTTTGTCCAAATATGTTTTAAACGTCCTACCATAGCTAGTGATCCCATATGAAATGATTGACTCTGCGAGTGCATTATATAAATTTAGTAATATTTTAAATGGTACTTTGTATTTCAAGATAGCAAATTTGGCCAGCATTGCTCTCAGTTTTTCACATATTGAGTCAATGTGATAAACCCAATTAAATCTGTTATCGACTACTAGTCCTAAATATTTGTAACGGGGAACCTGCTCTAACAATTCACATTTGCACCCGGTCCTATTTGTTTCAAAATTATGCAAGCACTGATGACTATGCGCAATTACTTCGATTTTCTTATCAAAATTGCGTAGGTAGTTAGATCGAATATGAATAATTTTAGTTTTACTAGCATTCAATACTAAACCAACATCATGAGACCATTTACATAAGTTATTGAAGTCGATTTGTAAAAGGTGTTCGGCCTTATCTAGATCTTTATCACGGTAATTTTATCTATACAGTATTCCAACTTCATACAAACGGACGAAGCGAGAGCTATACCTACGCGCCTCGATCTCGGCATGCGCTCGGCATGCAGACAGTCGTGACTGTGCCGCAGTGATGATTTTGTGGAATATATATAAAAAATGGAGGAAATAAATAATAGAATAGAAATAAAGAAATAATAAATGCGAACTTCATTTAAAACCAAACATATAAATTATAAAATATCTTTTACTTGGTTATAGATACCTCTTTATCCAAGTAAAAGATATTACTTTTCTCCACCTTGTCCATGTTTCCCAAAATAATTTTTAATTAAGCTTTATATTATAATGCGGATTTTTTATACTTAAAAATTTAATTATAAAGTAATTCGTACGTCTCAGCCGAGGCGCAAATATTTTTCGGTCGCAAATTCATAAGACCGATTTATTTTTCAAACATAAACATGGTTTTTTTTAATTAAATCTACCAATCAAAAAACGATACGCATTTTTATTGAACACTTCCTATTGAATTTTCAAAGTACCTATTATATTTGATTATATAAAAAAGTATATTTACAATCATAAAACTAAATGGAAACACAAAGTAGGCAAATGTAATGCTGAAGGCAGGCAGCCCTATTGCATGTTTACGTACCGCGCTGCTGTAGGCATTTATTTCAAAGATACGGCCGAGTTACAATACTGTATAGATAATATTACCGTGTCTTTATCGACTGCTATAAGACATGTATCGTCCGCGTATTGATAAATGGAACAATGTTTTATTACATTTTCCATATCATTCACATATGCTAGATAATGCAAGGGTCCGAGCACGGAGCCTTGTGCTGTTCCAGTAGTTACAAATATTTCGTCACTGAAATCATTGCCGATCTTAACCCGGTATTTTCTATCGTTGAGATAATCTTGGCACCATTGTAATAATGGCCCGCGGATACCTGTATTGTCAAGTTTTTTTATAAGAATATCGTGCCTAAGAGTATCAAATGCCTTACTAAAGTCAATGAATAATAATATGACATGTTTTTTATCATTCAGGTGTTGGTTTATTTCGTCCGTGAATTTAGACAGCAATATAGTAGTTGATTTCTTAGATTGAAAGCCGTATTGAGCATTTGATAATATATCGTTTCTAGAATAAAAATTGTGAATTTGCTGGGCCACATATTTTTCGACTACCTTATCTATGACTGACAGTATTGTTATAGGCCTATAGCTATCATACTCACTATGTGATCCCTTTTTATAAATTGGTCTTACGGTGCCAGTTTTCAATTCTTGTGGATATTTTCCTACTGCTATGCTAGTGTTTAACAGCTTAACTACAATATTAGCAATCTTGTCACTCAGCATCTTAACGTCAAAACATCGGATTCCATCATTACCAGCCGATTTATTTGCATTTAAACTTTTTATAATAGTTAGTATATCGCGCTTAGTAGGTTTTTTAAATAAAATAGATTTGTTTTCAGGAAATATGTATTCCGATTCTGACATAAGTTTTTTGCTGCATCCAGGCAAAATTTTCTTGACGTTTTCACAGAATTCTTTAGCAAAATTGTTGGCTATATTTTTTAAGGTTAGATTGTTTTTCTTGAATGCTTTGGTTACAGCTTCATCTACTGACTTACAGATTCTACCAGTAAGCGTATTTAATATATCCCACATTTTCTTTTTATTCATTTTATTATTATTAATTAAATCATTAAAATATTTGATTCTAGATTTTTCAATTAATTTTTGAGTTTTGTTTCGCTGTTTATTAAATTCTAATCTAAGTATATAATTATTCGTATCCTTTTTCCACTGATTAAAAAGTAAATCTCTTTTTCGGCACATGTTGTTAATTTTATTATTTATCCATAATTCTTTGTTTCTTTTGCTATTTAAATTTATTTTTTGTGTTTATTTGGATAGTTCGTAACACATTTTGAATTTATTTTTAATATAATTATAAATCTCTATCGGACATAACATCGTATCGACACCATTCCAATCAATTTCATTTAATTTTTGTTTTAATATATTGTAATCAATTAGTTGTTTAACTTTTGCACCATCTCGTATAATGTTTGCAACTCCGCTTCCTATGCACGACAACACAACCATACGATGGTCCGCCATTACAGTACCGAGTGCGGCCGAATAAAGGTCTAGCGAGCGCGTTCTTGCAAAAATATGATCAATGCAACTCCGCGTAATAGTATCTTTTCGGTTTTCGATTCTAGTGTAATCTGATATTGCACTCGCTAGTCCACATTCGGCCATGCAACTTATATAGTATTCTCGTATGTTATCATGCGACTTTAAGTCGATATTTATATCACCCAGCAAGTATAAATCCGAGCATTTAAAAACGTCCTTACACAACAGTTTTTTCAATTCTTTGATAAATAAGTGTTTGCTTTCTTTGGGTGGTCTATACAATGAACAAATAAGTGCCGCGTATTGATGTGACGTAGATAATTTACCTATTAAAGATTTACAATGGTTTAGTGATATATTATTTAGAATTTGAAACTTGTGGGTACTTTTTATATACATAACAATGCCACCACCTCTTCGCTGTTCACGAAGCTTATAGTACATTTCATAGCCATGAATATTAAATAATTGAACAAGATTACTGCTTTTGGAAACTCCTACCTCTGTTAATATAATAACGTCGACATCAATTTTAGACGAGTGAATGAATTGTAAAACCAGACAAAAATTTTTAACTATTGATCGCAAATTTATGTGGACAATATTTAGTTGTTGTATATTATGTGGTAGATATTTACTAAACTCGTTTATGTTAGTACAGTCAAACAATTCTTGTATTTCCTGTGAAGGAACTGTTGCGTTGTGTAAAACTGCTATCGATATTTTTGAGAAGACAACTTATCAATATCACATGAGCTTCTTATGATAACGGGCTTGTCATTATCAAATTTACGAGCCAAAACTTTACCACCCTGGAACCAAATATATTTGTAAGTTTCCTTCAAGGTTTGTTTAGCTTGCCACAGAAGTGTTTTATTTGCTTTGGTTAGTGCACGCCGAAGTAACACTCTTCTCTTGGCTACTTCAGGATTAAGGGCATTTGGAGTTATATCTTCCAAAGCAATTGTTTCCGTTCGTGCAGCGCGGATCCACTGGTCGACCTGCTCCTTTTGTTGTAATACTACCTGGATAACACCTTCTTTACCGTCCCTGCCATTCAGTCTTTTCACCATTGACGCTTGACGTTTCTCTACTTTTAGTTTCGAGGCTAGTTTACTTGAAAGTTTTTCCAAGTTCTCGTCCTTATCTTCGGGAATTCCTGTTATTTCCAGTACATTATCCAACTGTTTTTGTTCCATATTTCTGATTTGTTGTTCCATAGCATTAACTTTTAATTCCAAGTGGGTATTTTGATTTGTCAAGTACATGTTTTTCTTCTCCAAGTCTTTCACTTTCTCAGTTAGGATTTCCAGTGTAGCATTTATAGTATCCATTTTTATACACCATGAGCTTAACGATTCGTTCACAGAAGCCAGTTCCATCTTCACTGCTTTCTTTACCTCAAATGAGATATCACGAAGTAATTTACTCATCGCTGTCGAACCGATTTCACCCAGCTGAATCCCATCAGTATCATCGTCATCGTCCTCCGGAATTATGAGACTTACGATGAGGCGATTCTTTACGACAATCCTCACATGTCCACTCCAAGTTTTCAGCATTGCGCAGAGCTGATAGCTGCTTCGAAGATAAGCCTGTGCATAATTGATTGGCGTGTACTATTTTTCTACATTTGTTGCACTCAAGCCTAGGTGACTTTTTTGTTATGGACTTATCACAATTGTCGCATTTAGATATTCTTACTTATTAAATATTGAGGGTAAATATATCCGTACACAGTTAGACTACGCTGTACGAGAGCTCGCGAGTGACTGATATATATATATATATATACATATACATATATATATATATATATATATATATATATATATATATATATATATATATAACTCCATCTCACTCTTCATTCGTAACAACGCGTCTGCATTTGATCTGAAGCAACGATTGACGTCGATGTCTGGAGGCTACAGGAACTCTCCATTCTTCATTTGTTGGTCTAATATAAGTGAGCTCAAGTTCAACTTTGGAATTTCAAAGCCTAATGATAATGAAGAATTACATATTCCCGTTATCCACTTCAAGCCCAATTGACAATGCTTCTGCTAGAATTGGTTCACGACAGTCGAATAGTGGATTTGAACCTATGACATTTTAGTTTTGCAATCTATACCCTTAACCTATTAGTTTAGTAATATATTAAATTCTAAACTTGTTAAAAAGGACAACCGTTCCAACTCAGTTGTAATTACTAAGAAAGTTAAGATTTTATTTATTCTGAAATGCCTTGAATGAACCGCATCGTTACCGAGCTAGGGATTAACTTAAAACTAAATGGGATATTTTCATTTATAAAATGTTTGCTAAGATATAAAAGTAAAATAAGATTAAAAATAGCGAAAACTAAATTAAAAATATGCTCTGAATTTTGTAACGAAGTTTTTCCTAATATATAATTAACATTTTTTATATATTTAATTATAATTTATTGCTATCACCTTAAATAAAAGGTTCACAAAAGACGGACATATAGTGAAACATAATGCTATGCGCAAAAGGATAAACAACTTTAGCAATAAAACTAAAAATATACAATAATAATAATTATCAAGACTACTTAATAATATCGTTATGACAACCTATTGAATTAGAAATGAAGACATTTTGGGCTTCATTACCACTTACCACCAGGTGAGATTGTGGTCGATGTGCGGCTTATAATAAGTAAAAAGAAAATGAAATCTTTAGTATTATTTTTTATAATCCTTATTTTTTTTAACACTTTAACTCATTTAATCATCTTATCTTAAATAAAAATAATAATTAAAATTACAATATTTACAATTAATATTAATTATACACAATATAAAAAGAAACTGTAATATAGAAAAACAAACACTAAAAATTTAAATAGTCAAAAAAGACCTGCTCCTTGTGGTATAGTGCCACGACGCTGGCTGCATTTCCTCGCTGAATAGCTATACTGAGCATTTGAGCGAGGAAAAAACCAGCCTTCTATCACCAGCAGCGACGATCAGCCGTGGATACAGTTCCTTTAGGAATTTACAGCACGTAAAGTTCCTAAAGGAACCTCACGTGGTCGCCGCACGCCGCAGTCGCACGTGGATCCCACGGGCCGATAGTCTATACAGCAAATGGCACAAATATGTAGTCATTTCTCAAAGACTCATATTTGCGCCATTTACTAAATTGTGCTGCCTCCGATGCCGCCCGGCTCTAATAGAGGTACCCTTGAGATGAGAGGCCGCCAAAGTGTCGACGCAAGTAGCATCCCACACTAGGGCTTTACGTCTCTCCCAACGGACCAAAGTCATACCGTCGGGTCTCTTGCCATCGTCTCTAAATATCCCGCAAGGCTCTAAAACCGAGGGGACATTTATGAAGACAAGAGCCCTTCGAATGACTTCGTTTAAAGAACCGTGACGGGAAAACCTACCTGCAATTTTCCTTCATGAATGTCCGTGGAGCCCAAATTCATCGACGCTGCTACCACAGGGGCACTGGTGAGGTTGAAAAATTACCACTCCAAGCCGGATTCCTACGGTGATGCGCAAGCTCTCCCCATCAAGCAATGTACTGAGATTACGTGATGGTAGAGCGCGTGTAACCAGTGGCTAGATTCCTTATTATTTTTTTAACCTTTAGATTTAAAAGGCTAAGGCCTCCTAATATTTCGTTCAAATTTGCAGCGTGTACTCACACGCCCGCCGGACTGCCTTAACGCTTGTTTAGTGACTTCATTAGCCCTTGCAATGTTATTTATTTGTCAGGATTTTCCTTCAAACACAAAATTTTAACCAGCGATTTTATATTAAACACGGTTGAAGATTAAACCCGAAAAATATTTTTAAGGCGAGTGAGCCCTAAGCTACCACGGGTCATTATAAATGATAAAACGATAAGATTTAAATAAAATAAAAAAATGGTGTGATTTATAAACGAAAGTGAAACAAATTGAGTTTACAAACGAACTCTCAGCCCATGGACACCTGCAACCAACTTCAAACAAAGAAGGATGCGTTGTCACCACTGAGGACTAGGACAGGATGCATCACGGTCTGTAGATACACTAGCTCTCTACACTCCTCGCACTAGAGAACAGTGTGCTCGTGTGCACCCAGACCCGTCCGGACGGACTTCTAGATAAAGAAGGAGTTCTACCACCTAGATGAATATAAACATCCTCTACGCCTATGTCTAAAGTCTTCTTTTAAAATGTGCGGCTTGGGTAGTATATAAACTATGAGAATGTGAGAAATCCTATTGCGCTTATATATTTAATATAAGCTAGTAACCGATGATATTACATAAAAATATGGTTAGACGTAAATATTAAACACATTTTAATAATTAAAAAAACTACTCAGAATAGAAAACTCGGAATGCTCCAGCCACAAAATGTACAAAGTCAAAAGCTAGGAGCATCATGATTCGAACTTCAACTGAAAGTGACAAACAACAAACAAGTCTCAAAGTTTGAGCACACCATCTCTCGCATCAAGTGCCTTATAATTTTACGTTTGAAAGAAACAAAAACATTTGAAAGAAAAGCGAATTCATCGAAATAAGTTCCAGTTCATCACTCCTTCTAGAGGGAGCTACACAACACTTCGCCAATGGTCAGTGCCTATTAAGAACTAGTATTAATTATAGTAACGAACTTATTAAAATACTTATTTTTATGCCTGATGATGAATTTTAATTTTTCGCTTTCACGCGAATTTACGGTTATATCTCACTACCAAACTGAAAAACAACAACGGAAATGTGACTTTGACGTGATTAAGGGTTGGTAAGCAGTGAATCTGCCGCTAGGGAGCACAACTGTATTCACGATTGACGAAGACGTAGCAAAATTAGAGAGTGTAGAAGTTTTTTTTGGTAAACAATCTTAGATCCACCTGGTGGTGAGTGGCCACTGCAGCCCTTAGACACTTGCAATCAGTTGATTCAATGCTTCTTTATTTGAAGTTTCAAATGAATAAGGTTGCAGATGCGTTGTCAACTCTTAGGACTAAGATGGCATACTGCACAAACCTGTAATTTATATTTTTTTTGCGCCCGAAGCAATTAAAGGGCTACCCTATACGCAGGGAGGCGGAAAATGCATTACGCATACCACGATAGCCGGTCTATCGTGGTTATGAGGGGCTCACTGTCCTACCGGGGACCCTAAGTGATACCCTCTAAAAACCGCCTTTGGGGACAGGCAGCCGGCTGATTAAGCTGTATTGTGCCTTATCATGAGCGACCCTCTTTTGGGAAAAGAGGGCGCAGGCGGCTAAGAGCCGCTGAGGGAGTGCCTACGAAGGCAAATTAATGTTAGTTAATGCAATAATTTAATTTAATTATAGTTGGCCTGAGCCGCCAGGAGACAGTTCAGGTCGTTTGACAGTTTATTAGGCGGGTCCGAGAGAGAGTTTCTCGGCCTGCGGACACGATAGCGAGAGGGAGGTGGGGATGCATAAGAAGCTGCCTCACGAATTAATTGGTTTGGGTGCGACTCTGAGGCTTTGAAGAAGTTCTCAGAGAGTTTTTTAAGAAATTGTTGAATTGTTGGGAGCTCTAAGTCCCGATGAAGGTCGGCATTACGGACGTACCAAGGTGCGTTCGCAGCTCAACGACAGAAGAGGTTCTGAACTATTTGGAGTTCATTTATAATATTAGGGTTTGCGTGGGCAAAGACGGGGTCCGCGTAGGACATGACTGGTCGTATACAGACCTTGTAAAGGGTACGCTTGTTTCGAAGGGACATTTTACTGTGTCGGCCTAACATACTGTTGAGCCTACTCAGATAAAACCGTGCGTGACGGGTTACTCTTTTGACGTGGGGTCTGAAAGTGAGCCCTGTGTCTAGAGTGACACCTAAATATTTGGCGAACGTATGCCAGGGGACAGGGGTCCCTAGCATACGTATTGGTGGAGTGTTTTTGAGACGGCGTCGTTTATAATCGAAGTGAACGGCGGAGCTCTTCTCCGGGTTCACATCGATGCGCCATTTTTTGAACCAAGCTCCTAGGTCATCAACTGACTTTTGGATCTTGTTTCGTATGAAGGGTAGTGAGACACCTTTGCAGTAGATGGCAGTGTCGTCTGCGAAGAGGGAGAGTTGAACACCTTTCGACGGGATGGGAATGTCGTTGGTGAACAGGATGTACAGCAGAGGAGCAAGTACTGAGTCCTGAGGGACACCAGCCTTGATAGTTCGCTGTGAAGATAGCGTACCTTCGTGTCTAAAACGAAAGGTACGATGTTTTAAATAGGAGGCCACGAGACGAACTAGACGATCGGGGAGACCTATTTTGTAGAGCTTGTAGATGAGGCCTGTGTGCCAGACTCTATCGAAAGCTTTAGCTATATCGAAAAAGACCGCGATGGTCTTATGACGACGAGGGTAGAAACCGCTGAGGATATATTCCACAATGCGGTGAACTTGTTGGGGACATGAGTGTTTGGCTCGGAAACCGAATTGATGGGGAATGATAAGAGGGTCGCCGTCTGTGGGAAACAGATAGCGCCTCATACGCGTTTGGATGACTCTTTCGAAGAGCTTGCCCATTGCCTTGAGGAGGCTAATGGGGCGATGGCTGGAGGGGAGGTTGAGAGGCTTGCC